CAGAGATCACATCAACTAATTCTCTTGGGCCACACTTTCTCTTTCTAAAGGCATCTTCGATATAGCTGTTGGACTTGAGGGCGAGAGGCCTAGGATTCAAAGTAAATAATGTATTGGCTAAAAGTCAATTTTTTACTTTATTACCCCAAAATTGCCTTCTTTCTGTTGGCTTTGATCAGGCCAAAAGGATTATTTATCAAAGGCTGCAGAAGACAGAATTTTGAACTAAAATTGGCTTCTTAATATGGACCCCTGCAGTGCTCATTAGCAGGAATTTGTGAAAACCTGTGAATTATCTGAGCACATTAACTTCCCACAGTTCGGGGAAATATTTTTTCAAACAAGCAAGTCTTAATTCTCAGCCATTTTAAGTAATAGATATAATAAAATCCCTGTACCCGAGTATAGGCCTGTGTGATTCTGGAGAGGTTGTTACTCTCCAGCATCCAGGAATTCTGATATTTTTGATATCCAGCATATCACAATATTTAGAGACAGTCATGAATTTTATTTAACATCTATCTTCCAGCAATTCTTGGGGAGAAGACATGCACACTAAACTTAAGATACGATACAAGGAGGAAAGGCAAATATTTGCTGGTTGCAATAAAAACACAGCAACAGTTGATTTTATTGAACTAAAGTCAATAAAGTTCTAGTTTTATTTTATTCTTTACTACCATGCACTTTCTTGGGCAGATTATGACACATCCATCTTGTTTTTCTGCTGTTATTTTGAATAAACGCCTGCTCTTTGAGCACATATAAATAAATCTGTAACAATGTAGAATCTCAGTAACATTTAAAATAGAAGTCTAAGATGGTAGAAACAGAAAGTGAATAGAAAGTGCCATGCATTTATGAAATAAGTACTATTTTATTCACATAGTTTAAAAATTATATCAGTTTAAAATGTTTAAAAATGTTTAAATCAGAACCATAACATTATAAAAGGTCTTTTATGCATCAGAATCAATTTTTGGCTCATTCGAAACAATTCTTTGTAGAAGAATTGGATGACAGAACTGAATAAGGGAGAGAAAAAAACCTGTAGTTGGTTAAGACAAGTTCTTGAGAATTCTAGACCATTTAGGAACAAAAAACATCACATTTGCACTAATATCTCATTTATACTGCAAATATTTCATAAGACCCCTAACATTAATAAATGCACTGTTTTATGTAAGACAACATACATATTGTTCTACCCTTCTCATATAAAACCACTGATGTATTAATATGTTCACATTTAAAATTAATATTGTACAAGATGTTCATACATCTCACATTCCAGATAATTATCAACAGGAGAAATACATTTTCTGAATGTAACCTGAGGTATTTAAGCTATCTCTACATTAGCAAAGCATTTGCTAAAATATTAACAAGTGTCTTAATTATACTAAAACAGCCAGCTCTCTCACCAACACAAGACTTTCAAGCTTGTTTCAGATGTGACTGAAATGCCCACCCTTTAGGGAGACTCCTCTTATTATAATACAGAAAACAATTAAGAACCGATAAGTGCATATGCTATATGAAGATATATCTTGTTTTCTGACTTCTCTCCATTTTTATATCACTGATGTTTTCAAACCCAATGATGTTGTTTTAAAAGCCTGGGAATGTTTTTTTTTTTTAATTTTTACTAAAAATGCAAGGGTAGAATTCCAGAATCACCTTAATACAACATCTGATTCTTGATTTCAATGTCAAGAAGTGCCATAGCTATTATTTTTGTAGCAGCTTCCAAATCCTTCAGTGGCAAATTTATTTTAACATACAAAAATATTTGGTGGGCAAAACACATTTATCTTCTTAATTGTGCTAGCTTCTTGGAGTGGCTTGTTTAGTGGAAGCCAGCTTAGCTAACTTTGAGGACAAACACCAATCCTCTGCAAGTAACTTTCCCAGGCTAGTTTCCTATACGCCTCTGCTTCAGCCCGGCGGTCTGATGCAGATAAGATGCCTCGTCCCACAATGATGATGTCTGAATTTCGTTTTCTGATAACGTCTTGTGGACTTAGGTACTTCTGCCCAAGGCTATCACCTGCAAGGAACAACACACTTTTTGTACTGTTTTCAGATATTTTCATTTTAGTAAAATGTAAAACAATTACAGATAATGCCAGAAAAAGAAAATCCTTATAGCAATGAATACATCCATCCCAATACTGCTCAAGTACAAGGGAAAACCATACAGAAAAGGGGGAAAAAATCTTCCAAAGAATCTCTTCTCTCCTTATTGCATAAGGTAATAAAATGCCAATATAGGTTAACATAAAAATAATGATGGCAAAAAATAATAACCTCTATTTCTTACAGTGGTGCTAATAACAAAATTATGTTTTACAAACTGTGGTAAATGGTTCAGCAGAGGCTGTCAAAGTCCATCACCAGGGGAAAAATAAATTTCAAGCCAACGATTAGAAAATGCATGAAAAAATAGCTACAAATATCAAACATCCTTACACAACTCTAGAAGTATACACATTTATAATATATTCAGTTCTGGATTATGCTGATATTCTGAAGTTACAAGAATTTTTTTTAGATGCTTTAATCCAGCCTTTATTTTTATAAATAACTCAAGGTGACGAACCTGTCCTCCAATAAAACATTTGGAAATTTTACTTTTCAAAATACAAGTTGACAAAAGGAACAGTTTCACAGCTTTCTGACCACCTTTTGAAATTAACAGGCAAAATAAAATATCACTTCACAAGTGCCCTTTTAAAGCAGAAGAGGGGCAACAGAGCATAACCATCTAAAAATCTCCTCACTGCTCCAGTTCATTCCACTTAGTTCTAGAAAAAGCAGAGCCAATAGATGGATGCCCAATCTCTGCATGAATACATCTGGTAAGGGGCTGTTTATTATCTTCCATGGTAATGGGGTCATTTTCAGACTGTTCTTACCACCAACTTTAAAGAAAAAAAGTCACTCCAGCAAAAAAAGAAATATCCCTAGCAAAAAAGCTTTTAATATTTTCTTTTAATCAAAAAAGGAACATTTATATCACAGAGATGTGCTCCTTATGAAACCCATGTTACAGTACTGGTTCCCCAATTAAATTCTACTGAAAATACTAAACTTGCTCACATTTGTAACCAAGCTAATTACATATTTTAAAATACTTTGCCCTGTTAAAAATACCAACCATATTTATTCTAACTGCAATTACAATGCTCACCTCCAGCTTGCATCTGGACCCCTGGAGTTAAATGAAGAAATTCAGGTTTTTCAGTAATTCTGGACCCAGAAATAAATCCCAGAACAAAATCTGAGTGATCTTCAGCCATTCTGACCTAGAGAACATGCAGACACAAGGCCAGGTAAATTTGCTTTGGTATACTGTAAAATGGAAGAATAAATACTAAATAGTGTTGCTATTCTGAAAAGCCAAAACACACAATCTTAAAAAGTTGCAGCAATATTATTATTGACCATACTGACCTGAATCAACAGATGCACATCTCTCTTATTTGCAAAAATTACAGGTAGTCTTTAACTTGAAACCTAGCTGTTAAATGAGTTTTGCCCATTTTACAACCTTTCTTGCCACAGTTGTTAAGTGAATCACGGCAGTTGTTAAGTTAGTAATGTGGCTGTTAAGTGAACAGGGCTTCTCCATTGACTTTGCTTGTCAGATGGTGGCAAAAGGTGATCACGTGACCCTGGGACACTGCAAAGAATCAGTTGTGTCTGAATTTTGATCATGTGGCCCTGGGGATGCTGTAACAGTTGTTAAGTGTGAAAAGCGGTCATAGGTCACCTTTTTCCAGTGCCACTGTTAACTTTGAATGGTCACTAAACAAATGGCTGTAAGTTGAGGACTACTTGTATTTACCTTGTAAAAGAATGTCTCACTCACAAAACTGCACTAGCTCATCACTTCCTTTGTGTCAGAATCCTTTCACAATCCCCTTCCATTCTTGCTTGCAAACTCCCAAGCTTCCTAAAATTATTCTGGTTTTTACTGTCCTTCTCTGGCAAGAATTTCTCTAATGTACTGAAGTGAAGCTACATTTCCATTCTAAGCAGCTTTTTCAATGCTGGAGAACGGGCGGGGGGGGGGGGAGACTGCTGCTTTTAGGTACTGGCGATGCTTTTGTTTTTCAACTCTATTCAGATAAAAATTCCAACTTACGACAGCTTTCGTATAGTCACCTGTGGCCAGGGACTCACTGGAGCTCATCTCACCAATCAAGAGACACCCACGTTGTAAAGGATGCCCCACTTCTTTCAGCCCCTTAATAACTCCTGGGCCAGGAACTGCATGGGCATTAACCATATCTGACCATGATGCTATTTTGAAAACACCGCCTGAAAGAAAGAATAGTCAAGTTAACAACTACGCAAATAGATGTGGCTAAAAAAACTATGCAAATTGACCAATACCCGTCTTCACCTTTTTATTTTGATGGAAATGTGGCCAAGGATTGAGACCACAAATCCAACATTCCAAAACAGTCCAAACTACAATAGTCAGCTACAAAGGGGGAGTGGCTCTCTTCTGCTTCCTCATGCTATTCCACTCTCTTCCATAAGTGAACAGCGGCTGTGTTCAAGCTGGGGATCATCTCAGCGACTCAGATAGAGCCTAGTGTCAACTCTACAAATGAGCATGACACCTAGTTTGGGAGAGCCTTTCTCTCTGGCTACCCGAATCAAAATAGTCCTGGAGGATAGTCCCTTTGGCTGGAGGAGACAGATCCCTCTTCAGCCTAAAGTAGCCAATAGATGCCAGCACCTAGGAGTCACCTAAACGTAATCAAGACCAGAATGGTCAGCCAAGAATGGCAGAAACTTGAATTTGTGATGAGAGAGGAAGCCCGCTTTAAAAATAAAGCAGCTGAACCATTGAAGTCTAACCCTATTATGGACTGTAGACCAGAAGGCAATGCTATCAAGATCTGGTACAAAACAAGAATTAATGGGATGCGTTTGTGCTAGGGGGGGAAAGGCTCAGGAGAAAAATACGTTTTAATTCTTGAATGAATTGAGAAATTTGAGAAGTGCAAACTAGGTTCAATACATGTTAAAATCTAAGTCAGCCAAGAGTTTGGGGAACATGCCTTAACAAAATTAGAGCCCACTAAGTTAGGAAGGCTACTCTACAACTCCTTTGTGACAGAGTCACTTTCCACGAGATGGGCATGGAGTAGTAAAATAAATAAATAAAAAATAACGTACATGGTAGCTTCAACGTGAGTTTTGATAATATTCAGAATAAATTTCCAGTAGGTTTAAAAATAAAAAGCAAACAAGTGCTCAGTCAAATACATAGCAATGTTTAAAATTAAAAATCTCCCAAACATTGAAATAGCCCTGCAGAAGTTGCAGCCTAGCCTGGGAAGCCCACTTTACCTTTGTACTGGTGCTTCACCGTATTTCCAATGTCTGCAAATTTTCGGTCTTCAAAAATCAAGAATTCATGCCGAGCAGCAAGTACACTCAGTTCTTTAACTACTTCCTGGGTAAAATCATCCAGAATATCAATGTGAGTTTTCAAAATGCAGATGGATGGTCCCAGACTGTCAGCCAGCTGAAGCAATTCTTTGGAACTGTTCACATCAGCAGAAAGGCACAAGTTAGACTGTTTTTTCTCCATAAGCTTGAGGAGTCGAGCAGCCAGAGGATGAGTGCCTGGCAGCTCAGCCCGAGCAGCGTAACTCATTTCTTTGCATACCCTTTTCACAGGAGCGGTACCATTTTGTTCAGATGGCTTAAAAATATTGTCTTGGATGAATTTTTCCACTCTTACCACTGTTTCAGAAGTAATTTTTTTCCGCTGTTCAAGGATTTGAAGAATTTGAGACAAGCTGCACACAGAGTGCAGCCTAATTCCATGTTTTTCCAACATGGCTTTCCCTCCTTGTTCTCTGTCCAACAGCACAATGGCATCAGTAACCTTCAGTCCCTCTTTCCAAAGGACTTCTGCCGTCTCCAAGACACTTGAACCACTGGTTACTACATCCTCGATAATCAGGCAAGTTTCTCCTGAATTAATTGTGCCCTCCACAAGGCGTTTGGTTCCTTTAAGAGGAATAGAAAGGATCAAACATTACTGTAAAACCCTTTCTGGTTCAACACAAAATTATTATTGTCATTAATATGCACGAACAACAGATCAATCATTCCAAAAAAATCATTTCAGTGTAAAACATCTGCATGCATATTTATTAATTGTAGATGCATAATTTACATCAAAACTCTTTTCTGTCAAAACAGAATAAACCAATAAAAGTTCATTGTCAGTCACGTCTTTACTGTCTTGAGTATTTACTACTTATACTATCAATATGTAAAATTTAAATTAAATTTTAATTCTTTTTACCATGATCTTTGGCTTCTTTTCTCCGTATAAGCATTGGAACCTTATTCGTTGAGCAGATTATTGTAGCCAAGGGCAAAGCTGTGTATGGAACTCCACACACGGAATCATACTTGAGTGCGGCATCCTTCGCTGAACAGAAAAGGAGATCTGCTACCTGAGAGAATGGTGTTAAAATGAATTTTATTAGCACACAATATATCTACCAAAAAGTGAAAGTTTAAGAAGGCATTTTCCAAATCCTCCTGTGCAAGTAAAAGTCTGGTCTCTGGTTCTAGATAGAGCAGTTGAAAGAATGATCACATATCCATGAACTTAAAACAACTGGATAATTAAGATTGCATTTTATAGTTGTTTCCTTAGCATCATTTTAAGCAGAATGGAGACCAAAGAAGCAATCTCTCCTTTATCAAATATTCAATAAATAATCATCTGAAATATGTCTTTTATTTATATGGGCAAAAATGATTCACCTCACTTACATAACTTTCCCTTGTCTCCAGTCTTTAGATAAGATAACCTTGTCATTTTTTTACTGTGGGCACAATGACACACATCAAAAATGAAATTTAGTTGCCCGCTCTCAAAGTGAACACATACATGACACACACCTAAACATACTATATACAACATATACATACTATATACAACATATGTATATAGACCTACACCCCTACATATACATATGAATATTAAACACTGTCCATCTTGAATATATAACGGAAGGAGGAAGCTTGAGAGTTCACAAGGTTTATACTGTATGGAACAAAACTGTGACTGAATCTGGATGTTCTGCTACGGATACCACGGAGCCTCCTCCCAGAAGGTAACAAGGAAAACAGGTNTCACCTCCCATCGACCTGTACGCTCCCATAGAGTGGGCCTCCTCAGGGTGCCGTCGGCCAAACAGTGCCGGCTGGCGACCCCAAGGGGGAGGGCCTTCTCTGTGGGAGCTCCCACCCTCTGGAATGAACTGCCCCCAGAGATCAGGGTTATCCCTGATCTCCCTTCCTTTCGCCGCGCCCTCAAGACTTGGTTATTCCAACTCGCAGGACTGGCCTAGGGTAATTTTTAGAGGGGTTTTAATCAATATTTTAAATTGGACAATTCTCTAATATTCCTTTTAATCAATTTTAAATCCGTATTGTTATTTGTGTATTTTAATTGATTGTCCGCCGCCCTGAGTCCTACGGGAGAAGGGCGGGATATAAATCTAAATAATAAATAAAATAAATAAACTGATACATAAAATGCGATTTTTCCTGGAATAGGATAGTCTGTTCAGAGTGATGCATATTTTAGTAATATGTCTGTGCTGCTTCAATCCATTACCCTGTGAAGATGGATTGGAACTTTTACTTGGTACATACCAGTATAGCTATTGCTCAAAACGACTAAATAGCATGGAAAACCAGACACACATTATACCTACTCCCCAGGGTCTGTCCAGGCTATCTCTTCAAATATAACATTTGCTGAAAAACTCCTACATTAAATATTAACCTTTGTGGTGCCTGGAGAGGAATTTCTTCATACTCTTGGCTATGAGTAATTCTTACAGAGCAAGAAACAAAATTAGAGACTTCTCAGAGCAGATGAGCCTACCGAAACCTGAACGATCTAAAAATCCTATCCACTTCTGTATCGCTGCCCAACAAACAATATAGACATGTCCACGCTGTCATCCTTCGTTAACTTTGCCTTAAATTACATTTAATTGCGGCTACTATTATTTGGGAATGCAAACAATATCTGACAACGAGCTAAAGATTATACACCTCTCTTTGCTCATCCGATGATCACCCAGAATTTTGCAGCCCCGTGCTGGTAGGCTGAGTTTCATCATTTTTCTTTTTTCTTTTTTTTTTTTACACTTAACGTGTTTTCACAATTTAATTTACAAATGGGAAAAGAAGAAAATCAAGGAGGAATACAAATTTCAACATTATTTTTGGTTTGAACAAAAATTATTATAGTAACATTAATAAATGCAATGAAGAAATATAAACATCTATATACAAGTTTTCCCACAGTATCTTATTTTTGATTAAGAGGCCAATAATTTTCTTTAAAACAAAAAAGATAACATTGCTCTAACAATAATTTGGAATTCAGTGCCTGGACAGAACACCTCTTTTTCTTTCCTTTGATTCCTTCCCACCCCCCTGAGCTTAGCAATTATATTGATTTTAAATATAGCTACAGCAATATATTACATATCTATAAAACTTGTAAGATTCAATGCAGCAGTTAAAAAAAATCCACACACACTAGAGTATTTTCAGCTAATCCTGGGAGATTGGTTTTGCTTATATGATTCTTACTTTAAAAATCAAGTAAGAAGTTTACTCTGCAGTTCAAACATTCATTTTTCAATGGGATCTTTAAGGCTTTTTGGTCAGTCACTTTGAAGCACCATTTGCTGCTGGCAAGCCGGGATACACAACTTCCTGACCTCTGCAGCGTACACGTGAACCACAACAGCCCAGGAATTCCCGCGGCCGCTATTGGCTGGCTGGATTCCATAGGCCACGCCTCCTTTCCCTTTCATCTATATTAGCCACGCCCCCTCACAATAACCGCCTTACTGCTCATACCGGTCAAGCTTCGCGGATACCTTATTTAGCAGCGCCGGATACGACACAATGACGCGGAGGTCAATATAGACCGGGGAGACCAGGCCGCTCTTCAGGACGAACTCCCCGAAGCGCAGAGCCTGAACTCCGTACAGCTCAGTCGCCAACGACTCCATGGCGCTTGGCGCTTTCCTCGTACCACGCGCGCGAAACGGCGGCGCATGCGCCGCGGGCCTTGTCGCCCAACAATGACGGCATCGAGCAGTCGCTTTTGAAGCCTTGCGTGGAACGCGGAAGTGGCACGTGACGTCGAACCTGGGCAGCAGATTTGCGTTTGGAGCCCTCTGCCGGCGTGGAGGAGCCGATGATGGGAATGGGCGTGGCTGGAAGGATGCGTATTGCTGAATAGCGTTTAGTAAAACAGAAGGAGAAATTTAAGAATTGCTACAGATTTAAGCTCATAAATCATAGTTTTACCCGGACACGCCAAGGACAGAAATCAGTAGCGTTTGGAGGATAGGCACCACGAGGCATTAGGGAGATGTTCCAGTGTTTCTCAACCTTGACAATTTTAAGGCATGTGGACTTCAACTCCCAGAATTCCCCAGCCAGCAATGCTGGCTGGGGAATTCTGGGAGTTGAAGTCCACATGCCTTAAAATTGTCAAGGTTGAGAAACACTGATTACTGAACTCAGTTCAATTTCTCCTTTGATTTCTCTGCTCGGTTCTGGATAATGTTTATCTCATGCTCTGTGAGGATGAAAATCAAGCACGAGTCGTGTATGCTGCATCAGCTTTGGTATTTTCTAGCTGGTGATTTTAGATCCCAGACTATCTTAACATGATAACCTCCAAATGTCAATTTATTTACAGTAAAAGGAGACTGGGTTAAACTGAAGCAGAAATAACAATTATCATTGCATTGAAAATAACAGGACCAACATGGACAGCCACAACCAGAGGCTTGAAGCTGTTATAACTCCAAACTGGTATTGATAAGTAGCAAAATAGGAAAAGAACCAAATTTAGAAAAGTTGGCATTCTCTTGCTATGGCACTTCCTCTGCTTGATCTTCTGTATCTGCTGCTGCCTCAGACATTCAGCAGCTTTTCTTGGCATCGATGTAGGCCTTGATACAGGCTTTCTGTACATCAGTCATCTTACTGATGTACCTCTGGATGCTATAAGTTTCATCTAGGACAGTGGCTTTGATGCATAGCCTCTTTCCTCAGGAGGGACTTGATCACCTGAACCAGGGATGCTAGCCAACTGTTGCTAAATGTGATGTGTGGAGAAGATCACTTCAGCCTTACTGCTACAAGCAAATCCCAAGAAGGGGTTTTACTTTTTTGTGGCCAATTTTCCTTTCGCCGGCACTGCTGTTGGCATCTCTTATATCGCTTCTTCTGCAATCCTTTGGTGTAAACCTACCTACAAATACAGAGTCTCTGCATGGTAGATTTTTTCATAAGAGACTTTTATATGTGCAAGCTCAGCCTGCATCAAGCAATAGGTTATAATAGAGTCATAATGGTTCAGTAGGAACCATTGCACCTTCTTTTAAACTAAAAACATCTCTGGCCTCACACATAGGGATTTTAAAAAGCAATCAGCTTCCTCTTTTTTCCCAGTGAAAGCAGGTTGTCTCAACTTCTTGTGAAGGTCAATTATTACAGATTTTGTTTGCCCAAATATAGTAGAGCTATAACTTCCCAACTCTTACACTGCAAAGTTTATTTTTATTGTAGACCAGGGGTCTCCAACCCCCGGTCCGTGGACCAGTACAGGGCCGCACAAGCAAGCAAAGCCCCATCCGCAGGATACAGGCAGCACACAAAACCACGTCCCCTCCGGTCCGCAGAAAAACCTCTCACCATGTAACCGGTCCCTGGTGCCCAAAAGGTTGGGGACCTCTACTGTAGACCATGAAATTGTAGCAATCAAAAGAAACTTCAGGAGAGGAGTTGGAAATGTCAAAACATTTGTATTTTAAACGTGGGAGTTTGCATCTCTTAAAATTGGTAACGAACTCTTGTGAAATAACTGCTTTTTTGTATATAATTTTGTGTTTTTTGCAGGAGGTTCTGTAATTCTGAGACAAAGTTTGGGACAGCAATGCAGCTGTCTTTTTTTGGCAGCAAACAATAAATCATGGAATACTAAACTTAACATGCTGGAATTTAAAACAATACCATTAAAATACTTACGCAGTCAGTATGTTGCTAGTCTAATTTTATACATGTTTACTTGGAAATAATTTCTGTTACACCGAATAGACTTTACTTCTAAGGAAGTGTAGGCAGGAGAGCAATCTATGTTGTGATGTGCTAGTGATTCCAAATGTGTTGCTCTATGTAGACCACTCCATCGTTTAAAGCTTTTAATGATCACTACGTACATGATGGATAAATACCACAGCACTTAATTCCACCTTTGTCTCATGTAACACACTCTGCTGGGGTCTATAGGACTCCTACATTAAATAAACTTTTTTTATTTAAAAAAAGGGTCAAAGCCTTCAAATCTTGAGAATATAAAATAGTGCAAAATTGGGTGATTATGAGATTTTGGGCATTTTTATTTATGTTTTGTCAGTGTCATGGACACCTGCTATATTCTTGCAGACCACTAATGGGTCCTAGATCACAAGTTGAGGATCATCGATTCAGGCCAAAATAAAAACTACTCACTGAATGTATTATATATGGCTTAATCGATTTTATCAGAACAATTAATTATATATTCTAAAACAATCCAGTGCTAAGTCTTTTATATATTGCATTTATAAGGAAGGTAGTAGCCTAAAATGTAATTTTTTTATCCATAGAGAACATACGTTGCCAAAGAATAGGAACATTACAACATTACATATGAAGAGGTATAAATAAAATATTTACAAAATGTTTCTTTACAAAACACATATGCATACAAAATGAAATTAACAATAAAATAATATCACTTAAGGCAGACCAGCAAAGATTGAAATTTGTTTAAGGCTGTGAAATAAGTTTGCACCTTGACCTTTGAAAGGGAATAGGGATTATTTAGTCTGATTATTTCCCTTGTGGAAATCCTGATTGCATCTCAGATATACAGCAAAAAGAAAAACCCATTACTGTACAACCCCTCCTACAGTTCTCACTATTGGTGGGACTTTACACAACAGCTGCAAGTCCATCGCAGTAATAGTGTAACCCAATGTATCTCTCTTTATGAACAAGTCCCACTGAGTTGAATGACCCATACACCAGATTGTTCATGGGACTGTACTAACTATTCATCTAGAAGTAACCCCTTTGAATTCATTGGGGCTTACTCCTAAGTAAATATGCAAAGAGGTATATCCTGTAATGTTCTTTACATGACAGAATATATTTCTATTGTGGAGTATAACATGGGCAAAATCAGAATAATCTGCCAGCAAAATAAAAAGATCTGATTAAAGCACCAGCCCCATAAAAATTAGAATGCAAAATATGGCTTAAATAGAACAAGAGTTTTCCTGTTTTGAAAGTGAAAATAAGCAAACTAATCCTGACGTTATGTTGACAATCATTAATATAATGATTTTAGAATGAGTATTTAGGAGGAAAAGGGTGGGTCTGGTTTTATTCTCCTAAGAAAGCACCGTCATCTGATGAATCATAGATGCTCGAAATGAATAGAAAAGAAAAGAAGGTCCATGGAATGGCACTTTCAGGATTTTTTGAGATTCCAATAGTGTACAGCTGGTCTGAGCTACAAGCTAAAGGATCCAAATCAATGCTAGTCACACTTGACCACATGTGATCAGTGGTTCTTTAAGAAAGAACATGCAGCTGTGTCAGGCAGAGCCAACACACTGAATGAGGGCCAGAATACTACATCAGCTTGCAGCCAGTCCTTAATTACTTTGCCAACATTGCCTCACAAAACAAGATTTTCACATTTTGACAGATGGACTTAAAAAAACAACAACACCTCCCAGCCTCTTTTGTGTTATTTGTATAGCATCTGATTGCTCTTGATGCAAAAAAGAAGAAGAGGTATTTGGACTAGACAGGTTTTACAGTACAGAGCCCTTTGAAGTAACAGTTGCTTTAATATTTGAAGAAACGCTGTCAGATTTGTGTCATAATTTATGCTTATTCTGTGGAGCACCAGTCACGATATCGCCAGGGTTTTTATTCCAATGTTATGTATGCAGCGGAGATTCAGCAATAATTCATAATACATTACTCTGTACCAAAGTCGTATATATGTATTTCTTCAGGGCCATACATTAGAGAGCTAAATCATCTGTGAACATTTGATTGATGTATATGTAGAGTAGCAGAACTGGACACCCAGGAAGGCAATTGTGAAGCTACCAATGGCTACCACAGCTTGAAGAAAGGAGATTTAAACAAATTACATCCATAAATAAAATTGTGATGCTTTTGTTAGATTGGTTCCGGTCTAGCAAAAACTGCCCATAATGTGCCACATTTTTAAAAATATCTTTACTTGGAAGCATGTGACATTATTTTCAGCTATACTTACTCATTAGTCAATATATGTAGCAGTGCAGCATAGATCTTAATGAAAGAAATAAGTGTGATTTTAGAATCCAACTTCAGTTGAACCTTGGCTTTTGTTTTTACTTGAGCCCATGTGCCACACCTTTCGATGATTGTCAGTGATTTGTAGAAATAGTTGCTAAAGGCAACAAGGAATTGATCTTGTCTCACATTCCACATTATGGCAGCATTGCACTATATCAGGCATGTCAAACTGGCGAGTCACGTGACGTCGTGTGACGTATCGGAGCTTTTTCGCCATTGCCGGCAATGGGGTGGGCGCAGCTCCAGTATGATGAAACCGGCCCGTGGGCCGGCAGTTTGACACCCCTGCACTATATGGTGGTTGCTTTGATATTAAGTACAGCAAGTTTCTGTGGATTGTGGAAAAATTAACATCTTGTATTTAAAGGAAAAAGACTTTGCTTTCTTTTTCTAGCAAAGGCACTCTCTCTGTATATATATGTATATACTTAATAGCCCCAAATCCTAACATCAATTCATTTTCTCTACTGTTTGTTCTGCTTTTCTCTATTGATTATTACTTATCTAGTGAGGCAAGGAGAAAAAAAAACATTTACAGCACTTGTTTGGAGAGGTTTGATTGAAAAAATAGGGAAATATCAGGGAAATAGCCCTGTTAATTTGATTTAGAATTGTTAGTAAGCATGATATGAGTGTTGCAAAACCATAATTTCTGCTAATTGTAGAGAGCGTGCACTGAGTAAAACAAGATGCAGGAGAGGTAATCCCCAAGGAAAACTGGAAATGTTTTTGGGACAGAGGCTATGATAGCCCCAATATTGTGCCAGTTCAGACAAGAACTGTGCGCCTGCAAATTTAATTCTTATTATTTCCCTTTCTTCATTTGGCAAATGTTTTCTTGTTTCTTAAGGCATATAATTTCCTAATGTCTTAAAAAAAATGAGGTAGGCTCCCTACAAAATAAAATAGATAAAACGGGATCACACTAGGATCTTGGTCCAAAAAGTTAATAGACTGAGATTCTTATGTCTGAAATGGACGATAGGGTCTTTGTTGGAATTTATAAATTCCTTCAGTAAACAGGAGGCTTTGAACCCACTAAAGAGTTTCCATCAAAAGAGTAGGGGAGAAAATATCCCCCCATTTCCTCCCAATTCCAGCAGTTCTATATCTCTCCTGAAAAAAATCCTGTTTCAGAAGATTGAGGAAACTCCTGGAAAAATACAGAAACAGCACTAGGAGTTTTGCTTTAGATAGACTGTGGAATCATTCAGAGTCACACCTTTCTATAGCAGAAATCTTCAAGATAGAACTTTGCTCAGTAATAATCCTGTTGGTAGAATAAAAATAATAATGAATCCTACCCATTAAATCTAACATGCTAAAGATTTGGAGTTCTTCATAGTTTTGGTATTCTTGACCCTTAGGCCCAGTCCTTTTAAGCTAGAAGAAATACTGATGCTTAATCACTCCTAGAAAAGAACAAGGAGAAAAGTAGCAATGTTTATTGCAAAAAAAAAAAATCTCATTCTGTATTATAGTTATCTTTGCCCCACTTTTTCTTTAGGAATTGAGTATAATTGTCTTCTAAATTCTTGTCACAGTATTCATTATAAAATTGCAGGAAATGTTGCCAGTTCTTTTTTCCTAACTTTCAGTTGTTCAAGGGTACTCTGTCTTGTGGGCTCTGAGAGAAACACCCTTGGCACCACTGACAGAAAAACAAAGTTACCAAATGTCAGCCTATCACGGGGTATTCATTTGGGAACCTAGTTATCGCTATTGTCTGCCAAGGGATGAAAGCATACATTATTCCTTGCTTTTTCCAGGACGATGAGATTTATTTTATCTTTTAGCCAAACCATATATTTGGCCTTGAAAGTATTGTATTGGGAGCATTTTATATCACAAGTAGTGACAGGATAGCCCCCAAATCATTGGCACTTTGTGATCCAGCAACAGGAGCCCATTATCTCTGCATGTAAGAAGTCACAACCATCCTATCTGCTGATAATCACTAAATAAATCAGCCTACCCCAAGGCATATAGGACATTAATTGTTGGGGAAGTGGGAAAAAGAGAAAAACAGATGGCCGTTTTGACTGATTTGACTTCTAAAGAATGTAGATACGGCAAGGCCATGAATAATTCATTAGCTGTATTAAAACACTCTTGGGGTATTCCGTGTTGGAATAGTTTTAGAAAGCTAATGAAAGAATACTTCAGCTTGGAACTAGTATTTCAAAAACACTTAATTTGAAATGGTTGTTAAAGGGCTGTTACATTGTTGGGTGTTTGGCTAATCAGAATGCAATCTTGCAATGACTTTTAATGTCCTTGTTGAGTTGCTTCATACTATGCTTTGGGATTAAACAACAACAAAAAAACATATTTGACAGAAGGAGCTAAGGAGATAAACGCATACGGTCATAGTAAACTATCAGCCTTATGTACTAAGACCAATTTCAGAGCCATTAAGCATAAAGATGGACCCACTATGTTTACCACACTTTGGCCAACTTTGGCTTGATTTCACAACTGAGCAACTTTTATAAGTGAAAGGGAAATAAGATCCTTTTCATGTTACAGAGAATATGAGGATTCAATAAACATCCTTCAAATAGAAAAAGTCTTTGACATCTAGTTTACAGATACAGCACTTATTTTAAGATAGTTTTTTTCTCAACAAAAGTTTTCTGTACAAGAGCTATAAAATTTTAATTAAAAAAAACACCTTTTTGTGCTTCATCTAAATGTTTTTGACGACTCAATTACTTTACCATCTTATCAGTAGCACACTGCTGATAGTATGTTAACCTTGAACAAAAAATGTGTCGCATCCCAAGAGGACTTACTGGCAAAGGTCTGCTGTAATATTGATCAATGCCATGTATCTACATTTCACTGGCAAAACTGTTACCGTGAATCTCAAGTACAGCACTCTTACCACAACATTAATTCTAGTTCAAGATTAATGAAATCTGCCTTGTAGGAAAACTCTGATCCTTAATTAATACAAGGATAGCAATTTTTACAGAATCCAAGATTTATCCAGTCCAGTTTCTTTAAGAAATGCTGACTGTAGACCTGGTTTTGATTTTTTCCAATTTTTGATTGATTTTCAGATATACCATTCAACTATTCATATAATTAGCAAAACTGTCTAGGACTTTCAGGTGGTTGAAGATCTTCAAATCTTTCAGAAATGAGATAACTGTCTTTTGGTTCCCATTCTTGACGGATGCCATCTTATTGAACATGACCATGTAATTACAAACCCCCCCCCCAAGATGTTGCACTTGAGGCAACCTGAGAAAGCATCTAATTCTACTTAGATGATGTAACTGCTGAAACGGCACACACTTTCCTCAACAATCACATCAAATGTAATACTCTGTACAGAGAGGAAGAGTTGCAGAGAATCTGCTTTCTCCATTTTCACCCGCTGTAGCGCTCCACTATCACTGAAACCGTTGTATTGCGTTATGTTCCTGGGTTCATTCTGCTCATAATGAAACTCTTAACATTCGGAACGGGGCGCACATCAAACTGGTGTTTGCGGCGTTCGATGAAACTAGCCAGCCGTGAGGTATCCAGCGGTACTTTGGAATAGCTGCCATTATGAAACTGCAGCCATGGGTGCTGCAAGCAAGTGGCGGCAGTAGGTCTCCTTCGGAAGTCTTCCTGAAGGATTACGTTGATGAAATCTTTGGCAGCATGGCTTACATCGCAAAAGTACTCATTGGGAAAGCTGAAATCCACTCGGCACACGTTGATGCATGTCTCCTCCCTGCTTTCATCCAGAAAGGGAGAAACGCCACTCAACATGACGTAGGTGAGCACTCCCAGACTCCAGATATCTGTGCCCAGTGACACTGGAGCCCCTTGGAGTACTTCTGGAGCAGCAAACTCAGGGTTTCCAAGCAGGTGATGAACATGGTAATGGCCAGTGATTTGAACGGCATCTTCAAGGTCAATTAACTTAACACGTGGCACTGGGATCCGTAAATCAATCAGCAAATTTTCTGGCTGTGGAAATTTAAAATTAAATCATATAAATTTTAAAAGGTGTATTGTCCATTTCTGTTGCTATAAATACCAATATTGGTACAGCCCTTATACTAAGAGAGACACGTTCATATCTAGGTTTACTTCTCAAATATCTTTTTTTTATAGAAAGCAAACCCACAGAAGCATTGACTGGTAGGTTTGTAGCCCATTACATTCAGGAGGGCATCTAGCATAAATCCTCACATTATTGAAAAATGTTTTACCAGACCATATTGCCAATCCATTTGTCACAAGCAATTAAAAATCACAAGGCACCAACAGAACATAAAATTTTAATATGTTTAAATGGCTATAAACTGAGATGAATGTGATGGGTACTGAAACAGTTAAAACTTGTCTTCATTAGGAATATTTATTTAAAGCAAACATAATATGGAAAGACAACATGAGACTGGCAGATGGGAAATACTCAGTGGGTTGTGCAAGTATCTTCATGTACAAAGCTTTCAGTTAAATACACCCTGCAGAATGGATCAAGCTTATGAAGACACTAAGTTAATTTCAAATGGTTAAAGCTGTGAATCAGCCCTTCATTGCTTGCTATGAGGATGAACAAACAAACTTGGATACTTAAGATTGTATAGGCACAATCTTTTTTTTTCTCCTTCTTACCTTTATATCCAGATGAGCAACTCGACAATTGTGAAGATATTGTAAAGCTTCCATCGTATCTCTTATATAAAAAGCTATTTTTTCTTCCATGAGTTCATCATGATTCATAAGATAATCCAAGAGACGGCCATCATCCATCCTACAATCCCAAAATATTCCATTACAAAAAAAAGTGTCAGGATATCTAAGGTGCTGGGCTAGAAATTCTCTCCTGCCTTAGGCATGAAAGCCAGCTGGATGACTGGGCCAGTCACACACTCTCAGCCCAACCCACCTCACAGGGTTGTTGCTGTGGGGAAAATAGGAGGAGGAAGGAATATTAGGTCTGTTCACCACCTTGAGTTATTTATAAAAATAGTAAAGATAGGATATGAATGAATAGATAGATAGATAGATAGATAGATAGATAGATAGATGATAGAGAGATAGAGAGATAGAGAGATAGAGAGATAGATAGATAGATAGATAGATAGATAGATAGATAGATAGATAGATAGATAGATAGATAGATGATAGATAGATAGATAGATAGATAGATAGATAGATAGGTAGATAGATAGATAGATAGATAGGAGAGAGTGATGGAGGGATGGATAGATATATGAGATAGATAGATAGATAGATAGATGGATAGATAGATAGATAGATAGATAGATAGATAGATAGATAGATAGATAGATAGATAGATAGATAGATAGAGATGGAGGGATGGATAGATGAGATCGATAGTGATGGATAGATGAGATAGATAGATAGATAGATAGACAGGCAGACAGACAGACAGACAGACAGACAGACAGACAGACAGATAGATAGATAGTTAGTGATGGAGGGATGGATAGATGAGATAGATAGATGATAGATAGATAGAGATGATAATTGTATTTCTAAATAGAATGTATTTTACAAACAAAAAAGTTAACAAATATTAGGACTTGTGTTATTACATTTTCGTAGATTCAATTTAACATGAAGAACTCTACATTTGAACCATGCCATTTCATAGAAACTTAAATGCATCCTTGGAACTACACATATGCAAAATGTTCCCTCATGGTCATTTTCCTCCTATGGGGAAATGAAATGGCTTTTGTGACAATAGTCAGCTGTACAATATGACTGAATAGATAAATGACTTGCTTTAAGAAATAAGAAACTTGGTTTCCATATAGGACTTACAGTTCTAAAACTAAGATATAGGAAGAAGGTGACTCATAAGTGTCATGAATGGTGATATACTGAGGATGTTGCAGGTGTTGCAACATGGCTGCTTCATGGGCTGCCTGTTCCTTCTTTTTCATTTTTTTATTGACAAACTTCACCGCAACATCCTTCCTTGTGGCTTTGTGAATACATTTCTTTACGACAGCAAATCGCCCCCTGGAAAATTAAGACCATTAAGATAACTTGTGAATAAACGATGAATCCATTTTGGTTCAGTATTAATAAATTTGAAGAGCTTTCTAAACTTGTTAAGTTATTAACTTTACAAGTAATTTATTGTCTTTTGCCCTGGCAATATATCCTTTTGTGAAAAGCAAAACTAATAAAAGTATATTCATTTTTTTAAAAAAATGAATCTATTATAAGAGATTCTAACCATGAATTAGAAGCTGAATTCTGAATATAGCCTTGTGTCAGAGAATTCCCTTCTCCCAAAAGTAAATTTAAAGTCATGATCCCAGAGGTATACCGTGGACAATGTACCACAAGAGTCATAAATCCCCAGAGAACTTTGTATCCTCCATAGCCAGGAGAGAGATGGAAATACATCATTTCTACTGAACTGTATATGCCAGTCCCAAATCATGAACACAATTTGCTCTTCAGAAAGGGCAAATAATTCTCTCTGCATTTATACATAGATGAATCCAGTATCCAGATTTAGTCAGCACTGTTTTCTTACTAATGATTGTCTATGGAGATTCTTAATCATCCAAGTCATGGTTTTACCAAAGTTGCTTTTCCAAAAGGCAACTGGACTTTCCTGGTTTTTTTCTTTGAAAATGTTTCAATTCTTATCTAAGAAGCTACTTCAATTCTTCTTTAGAATAGCAACAGAATTTAGGCTTGTACTGCTCCATAGTGCTTTACAGCATGCTGTGTGGTTTACAGAGTCAGCATATTGCTCCCAACAATCTAGGTCCTCATTTTACCGACTTCAGAAGGATGGAAGGCTGAGTCAACCTTGAGCCAGTCAGGATCAAACTCCTGGCTGTGGGCAGAGTTAGTGCCCCACCAGGGCTCAGAAATCTCTTGGATGAGAAGTGAAACATTTTTAAAGAGAAATCCCAAAAAGTAGAATTGTCTTTTGGAAAAGCACTTTTGAAACTTTCTAGTAATTCTAGATCTCCAGATGATTATTCCCTCTTCTGGCTGTAGGTCTGCAGGTTTCTGAGAGAAGCACATCTTGCTCAGAGAAAGTAATAACATAGAGCCTGTGTTTACATGTCATGCTAGACCATCATATGTTTTCCTTCACTAAACCAATCACTATGGTTTGTAAACATTGGTTTATGGCTTAGAGCAACGTTGAAACTATCCACTTGTAATGTAGTCACACAACATGGTTTTAAAAAGCATGTCAGAATGGCTTCTGTTGCAAGTAATAGCATATACAGTATCTATGGAGATTTTCAGACATCCAGCTCATGGTTGTCCCAAAGGTGCTTTTTCAAAGGGCAACTGAACTTTATTTTTCCTTGAAGACATTTCACTTCTCATTCAGGAAGCTTCTTCAGTTCTCATTGAATGGTGGAGAATGGAAGGAATTCAGTCAGGACTGAAGAAGTTTCCTGGATGAGAAGTGAAATGTCTTCAGGGAAAAATGAAGTCCAGTTGCCTTTTGAAAAAACACCTTTGGGACAGCATGCATAGTAGTGATGGGGCTTAGTAAAAGAAGGAAAAAAGGAAGAGTGAATCCTGGTGAATGGAGCTCATCCCATTGGGAACTAGATCCAAGCCCACACAGATTTTAAGCACTTTAATAAATGAGTTGAGATATACAGAGAGAAGATGCTGTAAGTTTGTTTGTGTCTGTGAGCATAATGTTATGCAGTGCAGTGCTTCCGCCTCAGCTGATAAGAGATGTTTTGCAACACATGAAAGTGTGAATGCAGTGCCTCTCTGTGATTGATTAAAGCAGCCATGACTCTTTCAGAAATTGTGTAGTTGCTATGGGGAGACTCCCATTGCAATGGTAATATGATAAAAAAAGTGCAATTATACATTCTGTACATTTTCTGATGTTTGGCTTCTTGTGAAATTACTTCCTTACCGTCCAATTTCATTCAGCTCTGTATAAGCAAAATCAAAATTCTCTTTCCAAGTAATGGTGGCACCATCCGCCGCAGAGTCTTTGTGGAACCAGATGGGTTGGGAAAACAGAATTGTAAAACAGATACAGTCAATGTTATGTAGCTATTTAAAACATGAGTACTTTAGCAGCAGCAGCCATAACAAACTGCAGTGATGTCCCAGTGATGGCAGGTTAGTGTTGATTTCATCATGCAAATACATTAAAGAGTGAATGCGGTGTTTGTCTGTTAGCAAGACTCAGGAAGATCACAACAGTCCCAGAAAAGGCTTCTAAAATGTCACGTGTTCTCTCTCAGAGACCACCTTTCTATGATCAAATCTATCCATCCAACCTAGACAGTCAGAGAATACCTTCTCAGAGTCCCCATCTACCTGGAGACACAGTGCAAGGGGTCCCAAAGAAGAGGTACCCTGTTTAGGGGTGAGAAGGGCTAGTTCCATTTTTATTATAATTACACGCTCTTTGTCATTGCTATATTAATATCATTACTGTAACCTATTATATGAGTTGTAAACCACCTACAGTCAAATCGGACTGAGGTGGTATATTCATAAATGAATAAAGTGAAGTTCAGTGATGACCTTTTCTCAACTTCAGGGTTTTGTGAGAAAGTTTCTCTTTTTATAACTGCAAATTGCTACATCAAGAACTACATGCCTAGGATGGGATAGGATGGGATGCTTTATAGTGATCAAAATTAACATTAGTATGGATAGATACTATTTGAGCAATTGCTGTGTTTCTATGGGATCAAAATAACCACTGCTTTACTGCATTAAATAAAACGGAGCACATATACCATGTTATACTAGTGTGCATTGTGCAGCTTGAAACCATAGATGTTGTTTTGACTGGCAACAGTTCTTGATGAGGTGGAATGAGCCAGCAGTGGCACAAGATATTTTGCTCCCCATCAGTGGCGCCATCATCAAACATAGACATTTTGATTTTTTTAAAAAAAAAACACCTCTCCTGTATGTAAAATAAGGAACATCCATTGCCTATGTTGGTTGATTCATTCTGCTTAATGCTGAAACCAGCTCTCCTGAGACCTTTTCAAATAAAAATGCTGGCTTTCAGATCTAAAGGAGTACAGATTGGCTGTGATCTAATTGAAGTATTGCTTTAGGTTGGGTCATTGAAGCAATCTGATTCAAAGCAATGCCTCCATTTGAAAAAACAAATTGCTGCACTATGACATTTCAATCCAAGACAACCCATGGCTTTAGTCTGGAGAAAAGTCTGCACATGAATGGGCAAGGGCCAATTTGACCAGGGAAGTTGCTTCTCTTTGGGGGGGAGTGTCAATCAAAGTTTTGTCAAATCAAAGCATCCCTTTGAAACTCTTTAATTATTCACAGGATGGCTGCAAGCAAAGTAAGCATTATAGCCCTGTGCTGCACTCCTTTCAAAAGATCAGCTGCACCAAAAATAAAATGATCTGAACGTAGGACGACTTGTTAGAATACACCTCTCCAATTTTTCAGAGCAGGCAACAAAACATGAACCATGAGAAGCTTGAACTTCCAGGAAATTTTGATTCTCGACAAAGGACCCCAGCTTAGAAACCTGAAGTGTGACATTAGTGGAGTTTTCCATTCTGAAAGTCAGCTCTCCTTTGTGAATACAGGCCTCACCGTATTCTGGGAGTTTCACAAATTCAGAGGCCTCACTGGGTAAGCTAATTCCCCAGGGATTGCTGGCGCTGACCCGGAACTGGTACTGACAGCCAGGCATGAGGTCTTCAATAACGAGGTAGGTGTCCAAAGTTGAGGCAACAGATTGCTGCCAGATCTGGGAGCCTGTGTTGTAGGAAGAAAGAGAAAAGACAAGGGGAGAAAATAACCAACATTTAAATGCAATTACACATTTCTTTCTTGGTGATATAGGCGACTAGCTTTCAATCACAGAAGGTTAGAAAGAAAGCATTCCAGTTAAAATACTCCTACAAGGTGATGTAAGCAAGAGTAGTGGTATTTTCATCTTGGTCTTCAGCCTGATTTCAGTAGAACCTAAAATGTAATCAAGTTAGAGTTTTTAAAATGGTGTTTATAGGATTTTAGGGTTCTATGAGAAATTGACTGAGTTGTGTGGAAAGGTTAAAGCAACAAATAATAGCCACCACCACCACAAACTCTCAAATGTATCCAATTTTCTAGCAGACAACTTTTTTTGCCTCTTGATCAGGGGTTTGGGGATTTGGTTTTTTTAAAGCTGTCCTGAAACCCCTGATTAAACAGAAGAAGTGGTATTTCCAGTCTTTTATTAGTGGCGTGTCTAAGGGTAGATTGTAGGCCCATCAATGGAGCCATATAACTTTGAGAGTGCCCCATTGGTTGTCATGAGAGTCTATCTTTTCCTCACCTCCCTCATTCTCCTTCTTAAGAAACAGGATGCCAAATGTATCTGAAGCTCTGTTCTGCAGGATACCGAAGCTCCTTTAAAACTTAGGTAAGTATCATAAGTTCCAGCTGCTTTGCTTGGTTAGGAAAGAGAGTGGAAGAGCCCTGCGTAGGAAGTGAGGGGGAACAAGAGGACTTCTGGTTCCACCCTGTAGCGACATGGCCAAGGGATCGCGGGGCTCCACACATCACAGCTGTTTTCGCCCTGCCAGGGGACCCTAAATGGGTCAAAAGTCACCCCGGAGAGGCAACAAAGAGGGAGGGGTGCCCCGATGATCGCGGAATGGCGATCAATCCACTTGATCCATGGGAAGCCCTCCAATATGACAGGAGAAAGGCTAGCTGCACATCAGTGTCTAGCCCAAGCTACAAGCAGCTGAAGTCCAAAAGCACGAACCAGAACAATGGTGAATAGCTTGCTTAAAACTGGGTGAGAATATCAATCTTCTCTCTTCTATTTTGTAACTGATTCCCTGGAAAAGATCCCCAAAGCAAGAAATCCTCCGAAAGTGAGGGAGGGGACTAAAAGAAGGAAGTGGCAAATTAACTTCTAAGGGGAAAAGAAATATACTGAAATGAAATTAATAACACTGTAATCTGGATAAAACTGAAAATCAAAAAAACTGTTAAGATTTTATGCCCTAAAGAGTGTCAATGAAATTATAAAAAATAATACATTTTTATTTGAAAAAGTTGGAAAATAAATAACTACTGACATCTAGTGGAGAATCAGAGCATAGAAAAACAGTAACTCTGACTCAGAAATTGGCAAAATGCCCAGAAACAAAGAATAATCTGTTCTCTTGAACTTTAATAACCTTCAGCCAAATAGAAAACAGCTGGGAACAAAGAAAGAAAACATACTGAGCCATCTATAAGTTTAAAAAATGCCTGCAGAAAAATAAAACTTTCTCTAAGCTCAAGAATTGTTTGCAGAAAAAGAAAAACTTTGACTCTTGGCTCATCTAAGGGGGAATTTACTAGAAGGCTTCAAGGTGGCTAAACATTCTAGATTGCAACTCTGACTGGTTGATAATTGACCCCTGAATAGAAGAATTTTTATAAAATACTGCTTTCACTGATGCCTTGACAATTGGAAACACATTGGATTACAAAACCATATATAAAGATAAGAACTATATAAGATTTGGTTGTTTGGATTTTGAGATTGGCTGGTTTGATAAGGCTAATTATGGAGACTATGGTACTGATGAAAGACTATTTGGAGGGGGAGATGAAATGGATATTGCAAATTTATCTAAAAGGGACAGGAAACCACACCCAATATACCCCTCTGAAAGATCTAGCCTGGAACATCAGAGATCTACTAATAAGACAAGTACTTTTCTGGAGGAAATGTACGCAATGCTACGACAGATTCAAATGACAACAGTATCAAACCACGATGAGATCAAAAACAACTTTGATGACATAAATGAGCACATCTTCAGTCTAAACTTACAATTAAAAAACTCTCAGAAAATGATGATAAAGAATGAACAAACAAATCAGATAATAGAACACAAATTAGAAGAAAGTGACTTAAATAGGGAAGCTACAAATGAAGAAAACTACAATTTAACACAAATAGGAAAAAAATCTACAAAAATTTACCACAACAATGAAAATGGAAAAGATATTTTATCTGGCATGATTTCAAAACAAATTTGAAGATAAGAAAGAAGATTCAACAAAATGGATTATAGAGCTGCCAGGAAAGTCATCAGAGTATGGGAGACAAAAAGCATATATCCTATTCAACTTGTCTTTCTCACTCCCAACAAAAATACAGGAACTTCCTGGCAAGTGGAATATATTAACTTGGAAAGCTATTTGGCAAAAGAAGAAAGCTAGAGTAAGACTTAAAATATTTGATTCGACTTACCAGATGGAGTACTACTTGATTAAACATTTGTTTGAATATGGTTAAAAGAATAGATAATTTTGGATATAAAGGGACCCTATAGTAAGAAGGATAAGAGATATAAGTAGTATAGTAATTTTTACAATATATGAAATGTTAAAATACTGGGATGATGTATGTGAATGGAAAGTTTGGATATTTAAAAGTAATTAATTTTGAGAGAATTATGACCTAGAAGAATGATTTGAATACCGAGGGGAAATTAAGCTTAAATAAGAATTTCAAAAACAGGATATATAGTGACTAACAAGATGACTTTTACAAATATAGTTGAAATATAAGCTGTTCAGAAAAGATGTTATATGTGGTTGTTATAGAATATATAAGTAGTATAGCATTTTTATAATATATGAATTATGAAAATATTGGGATGGTGTATGTAAATAAAAAGTTTGGATATTTAGGTAATCAATTTTGAGAAAACTATGACTGATGAGAATGGTTTGAATACTGAGGGGAAAATAAGTTTTAATAAAATTTTTGAAAACAGGACACATAGTGACCTAACAAGGTGACTTTTACAAATACAATTGAAACATCAGTTAATTAGAAAAGATGTTAATATGTGGATGTCATTGTTATTTGTACAAACACAAAAAATGTTTATATCCAACCTTGTATGCATTGAAAATATTATTATATTTATCTACCGTTGACAAAGGAGAACACCATTGGAAGAAGGGAAGATCAAGGAAACATATTACTAATTAATATATTGATAATGGAATTATAGAAATTAATTATTATTGATTGTTTTTTCAAATATATGAACCCAGACAACACACTGTTTACTAAGCACTAAGGATTGTTATTGCAAAAAATTAATAAAATATATTTTTAAAAAAGGAAGTGAGGAGGAACAAGAGAAAAAGAAACTGTCCAGGCATTTGTGGAGCATCTAGCTTTTGTGTCATACTGATAATCTACAGGAAGAATGGTCATTTGGGAACCACATTCACCATTTTAGTGAATGAAGCATAGAAGAACAAAACAGAACAGAACAGGAGTATGGAATGGAATGGAATGGAATGGAATGGAACAGAACTTTCTTCTCTTCTAACAGAAACATGAATATGTTGGACTTGGAGTGATATGGATGGAAGAGCAGGGAAGGCAAGGGCTGAGAAGATAGGCTGTAGTCATTCTATGGTGAAGGGAGACATGGCATCAACTGAGATCTTTGTGCTTAGTGATACTAAAGGGACTATTCTAATTTCATCTCCAGTTTTGCCCAGACCCTTCTGACAAACTTTTTACTATAGAAAGTTGAGGAGTGATAGGAATGATATTAGGCAATGCAGCTCGAACAATGCTTGCCATTTATTGAGACTCATGAGGTATTTTCTAGTTACAAAGGACTTTTCCGGACTTTTTATGTCTGGTGCACACATGCCCGAAGATGGAAAGTAGGTGAAAGAAACACAAGAATGCAGGGCAACTCTTCCTTAAAAAAAAGGGGCCATAGTAAGGTAGCAGTTCCCCAGTTACTAAACTGTAAGATGTAAAGGTGCAAGATGTTTTGTGCAGAAGATTCCCCCCCCCCCCCGCCAGCTATCTCTTTCCAAAGTTATAGTCAATGGACTGAAATCAAGCAGTCAGCCTTAGACATTATCAGATTAGAGGCTAATGGCATAGTGGACCTCTGGCAAAGCTCATCAGATGTTATTGCACACCCGCAAGAGGGGAATAACAACTGGAAATAAGGATGCTAGATTTAACCCACATGATACTCACATGATACTCACAACTGAAATTCTGGTCCCAATTGTATTTGTAAATCAAAGACTATCTGTGTAGCAACTATGGCTGCATAGTCTTTCTTGGCCTTACCAGCAGTGCTAGAGAGTGCTAGTAGAAATAGTCAACATTTAAGGCCATGAAAATTTTCCTATAAGCACAGTGCAGGGGGAAAGTGGCGACTGTGTATAACTACAAAATTCAGTGGTGAAATAAATATACGCCTGGTAGGCAATTCAGATTTTTCCCACGCAAAAGCCTCACAATGCTTGCACCTTCTTCTCTGTACTCGACTGTGTAGCCTGAGATGGTACAGTTGCCTGTGCTGGATGGAGGCAGCCAGCGGAGAATCACCGAAGTGCAACTTCTTTCCTGAGCAATAGGCCGATTTGGGGCAGCTGGAACCCCTGGGATGGGAAAGAGAGGAAAGAGAAACAATTAGCAGAGAAAGTGATGAGAATTAGAGGAGAATTTTGGCGTCCCAGTTAAGGAGCAAATAGCAGATTTACTAGCCATCAAATCCTCTCTCTTTGTATTCTTTCGTTGAAAAAATAACATCTGAGGAGCAAAACAATCAGGGGAAAATACAGGAATGGGAAAGAGTTAATTTCTCTCCTAGAAGTGTTGCTTTAATCCAGTTTTTATTTAAAGAAATGTAACCTACAGGACAGATTACATTTCTGGTTTAATACAATCTAATTTTAAAATGCATTATTTTTAGGGCAATTTAATGTAATTGCTGATTATAACCAGCAATCTCTATCAACCTAAACATTGGAGAGCTGTAACTTTTAAAGATAATTTGAAATTCGGGAAAACAAACAAAATGGAAGGAGGCAGGCAAGCCTCCAGCACACTCCTAGTGACTGATGTGTTTCCCTGCTATCTGAAAACTAGCATGCCAGCCTTTCACAGTGTGGATTTTTTTTTAATGAAAAAGAAGAGTTTAAACTTGTAGTTTCTAACATGCAGTTTCAAACGGCACATGCCAAAGAAGTCTCTAAAGATACTGGCTGACTCCCTGAACATGACTCCTGGTGACACTATTCATGTATTTGGGGCAGCGATACAGAAATGGCTTGCCACTATCTCCTTCTAGGATTCAGGTTCCAAATGTAGCCTGCATCTTAGATATGGCCTCATGGCCTTCCAGCCAAGTCTGAATCATCATCTCACATTTCTTCAGCTTTAAGGGGGATTAGCTAAAGTCAAGGCAAGGGTTTATAGCCCTTGTTGTGGCTATAAAATCTGAATATGTAGAGAATTTAAAAATCCTTTCTCTCTCGGGTTTCTTCAGCTATAAGTCCAAGAGGAGAAACTATATAAACATTATTTTTCTTACAGAAATTTCTTATACATATAGTAGCGCATGTTTCCAAGCAAATGATGCTTTCCAAATACATCCAGTTAAAGTATGACCCACTTGCATTCGCTTTGCAACTTGCAGAGACCTCCCCCCAAGTAAATGGGACGGAATTGTTATTATTAATACTACTACTATTACTAGGGGGAACTTTGCCTTTAGTTTACTATATGCCTGTTCCTCCTAGAGCAGTGGTGGTGAACCTATGGGACACATGCCAGAGGTGGCACTCAGAGCCCTCTCTGTGGGCACATGCACCATCGCCCCAGCCCCGCTCTCCCCACAGCCCCCTCCTCACCAGCAGCCCCCCCAGAGTAGAGTTGTCCCCGGGTGCGGCTCACACACAGCAGTACAGCCAAGGACATGGCAGCTGGGCAGCAGGAACGAGACTCCACCCTCACACCCCATCGTGCGCAGGTGATGCTGTGGGCCATGGGTGGAGGGCGTGGCCACCATGGCACTGCAGGGCCGCCTGAGTGATCTGCTGCGGTGGGCCATGGAGGCAGTGGGTGGCCCTGTGGGCAGGCAGGGGTGGGTGGAGCAGGCAGGGGTGGTGGGAGGGGTGGGGTGGGTTTTAGGCACTCGGTCTCTAAAAGGTTTGCCATCACTGTCCTAGAGCACCATAATTAGCATCAATAACATTTCACCAAGCAAACCTATACAAGGCTTTATACAATAAGCACCCTGTTCTTAGCTTATACATGAAAGAAATATCCATTACCTTGTACTTTGACTGTCGCTGATGTGGATGCTGTTCCAAGTTCATTTGTGGCCACACAAGTGTAAATGCCACTGTCCTGAGGCATCACGTTGCAGATCTTTAGAGTAATGTCACCTGATTCACTAGAGAGGGGCAGAAGTCAAAAGGTTAATTTGAAATTCTGTCAAGTGGCTTTCCCCCCAGAACATAACAATTATGGTATTTCTGGTAACTAGAGTCAGGGGTTTGAGAAAAGTGACCTGAAAGTACTAGAGAACATCTTTAGGGTCATCTTCCTTTTTATTCAAGGCATGCTTTGTGACTAGCTGACCCCCATCTTGCCTGCTCTGTTGTGAATGCACCAATTCCCCCCAGGGCAGCCATAAGGAGAGGATCTCCAGAAAACATAGAATTTCACTCATCAGTCCCAATCCTGATCAAGAGATGTTGAAGAACTCGTTTCTAGGGTGTTTGGGACACGAGCCAACATGATTAAGATAACTGAACACTAAGATCACAGTGCTGCTATATTTACACTTCGACATTCCTTTGACTTTTAAACTTCTTTTACTGTTTATCAAAAGACCTATACAAACATAGCAGTCATACCGAATGATGCGCACAATGGATGACTTACAGTAACATAGGATTATTAAATTTTGCAGATTAAGGTGGAAATGATGCAATGACATGAACAGGTGGAATGTCCCTATGGGTCAAAAACAGAACATTGATCCATCTCCCATGCCATTTGGGGTTCTCCTCTTTGTTCCAATATTGATAGTTAAATACATGCAGTTGTCAGCAACTTTCAGAGCACAGGCCTAGACTTGTCTCTCTTTCCCAGAATCAGCATAAATTGTTGAGATTGACGAAGGGAATGGCAGAAAAACCTGCCGTACGGCAATTGTAATGTCTTACAGAAGATATTTCCTCATAGAGGTGCAAAGGAATTCTCAGGAAGCCTTTTCCTTGTTATGTCGTGAGAACAGTCTTATCCAGCCATGTACAGTAGTGGCCAAAATTGTGAAAGCCTTTTGGGAAAAGTGTACAGTAGAAATGCCACCTTTGGTTAAGTTTCCACCAATTTTTCTTCTAGTTTCTTTATAACTATAGCCTTGTTCACTTAATAATTTATTTATTTATTTATTTATTTAATTGAATTTTTACCCCGCCCTTCTCCTTACGGACTCAGGGCGGGGTAAATACTACTTTACATCGCTTTCTGGGCAACCAGTCAACTCTTTGCACCATTACTTTAATTTTATTACGTTTTACAAGCTCACTAAATGAAAGAACACAAAAAAAACCCCAACCAACTCCTCTCAGCTTCAATACATGACATCAATAACTGAATCCTACTGTGATCTGATTGGCTCATTGCCAAAACAAGATGACACCTTGATTGGCTCTCTAAACACTCATGCTCATTGTCTACAATCAGATGAAGGAAAGCTACCGGATATCAACCTAAGCAAGTTGTGCTTCCTTTTTCTGGTTATTTGGCTATAACTTTTAATAGAATACAGTACCGATAATTGAACAAACTATGTTGCATTACATTCTTGATTAAATTATCTTTCCACTGATATATAATTTTATGGTACTACTCCAAAAACATTGGTGTTATTAGCCATCAAACCTCAAAAATACACTTTTCCCAAAATTTTCCCAATTTTAGCCACTACTATATCTTAACAAGATTTATTAAAATGCAATAGGAGCGCTAACAAGAACATTCCTTTGGCAATTGGCACACACTGCATCATATTTTCAGGAAACTTTATAGATGAAATCAATTCTGATTTGGACTTTTCTCTGAGTACGGTGCAAAAATGTCCTTGAATTCCTCTAGCTACAGGGCAGGCTCTAAAACACCCATCCTTATTTGGTTCCCTGTTTTTAAAGAAAGGTTGGGCATGTGAACAAACCTCTTCCTTCTTATGACCGATTACAGCGAATTGTATGAATGCTGACTGGTTTGGTCGAGAAATTGATTAACACCCTTCTTAACCAAGAAATACTTTTTATATTTTAATGAAATACATGGTGAGAATAAATAGGGGCTTCCATTTCTAGGATTTTTTTCTTGAGATGAATTATCTTCACTACCTGATTTCAATCTACTGGGTTTATATACTGTCCAAACAGCATAATGGGTTAATATGTCAATATTCATTCTTTTGGATCTATTAATATCTATCACATTATTTGGGGAAATTTTAAGTAACAAGATGTTTTTCCCATTAGGGTCTGACATGCTTACTGTTGGATAAGCTTGTAAAAAAACCATTCAGATACCTTTTTAATTAAAAAAAAATCAGTTTTTAAATTCTAAATATTTTGATCTACTTTTCAAAAATATACTAATTCTTTTCACTATTTATGACATTGATTGCAGTGATAAGGTACTCTGAGGGCCACCCATCTTCATAATAGAATATACAGGTACAATAACATTTTAACTAGAAGGTACCTAGGATGTTTGCCTGTGTCTTCAGATATAACTTCTCTTTAAATACCGTTTGTTTTTTGTTTTTTTGTTAAGTGACCAGTATTTCAAGAGAAGTTACATCTGAGGATAAGTATTCACAGGCAGACACAAAAAAGTGATACGTTTTTTTTAAAAAAGTGACACAATAAATAAGGCAGGAATGGTAACCAGTATTTTTGAACCCCAGTTCTGCAGCCTCCAAAATTCCTTTCCGTTTTTTCAATGTTTCCTGTCATCTTGAGAAAGGAAACGCATGAAAACTATTCATTAAGCTACAATTTCAACTAAATCTTTTTAAAAGGAACGCCTTCCCAAATCTTAAAACAACCTTCCCTATCCATGTAGGTGTGTGACTCAACACCCTCCCCCTTTCCCAGATTGCCTCAATTGCCAGCTTACTGTAGTTGTTCTCCTTTCTCAGCATTGCTAGGTCCAAAACCAAGATTAACATGTGATGACTCTTCCAAGCCAAGTTCTTTATTTATAGATTGATAACCTATAGACAATTTACTTATAGGTGTAGCAAAATCTTGCAAGACTGAAGACTCTATTATCTGCATGCACAATATATTCTGTGAACTATTAGGGAGGACTTGACTTCACCCTCTTTCTCTCACATATAATATCTGGACTAAGTTGCCGCTTACTTGTCTGGAATGCACCCCCCCCCCAGAAATACTCCTGATTACTATATTCCATCACAATATAAACTATAGCCTCCGTTGACAAGACAGTTGTCCATTCCTATAGCAGAGAGTTGGAAATTCTTTTTTTCTATATTCCTCTTGACCAGTGGTTCTCAACCTTTTTAATGCCGCGACCCCCAACCGGTCGTAAGTCGAGGACTAAACTGGTCGTAAGTCGAGGACTAAACCAGTCGTAAGTCGAGGACTTCCCAACCGGTCGTAATTCGAGGACTTTCCCTGCCTGGGAGCACCACGCATGCGTGGTTCCGTCCCCTGCGCCGGCCGAGGCGTAGCTGGCAAGCGGCAGAGACAGAGTAGGCCGACCACCAGCTGGCCCAGCTCAAGGGAGGTAAGGCACCCACCGGAAAAGGGGAAAAAAAATGGCGGACAGCCTTGCTTGGCGACCCCCATGAAATGGTCGATCGACCCCAAATGCGGTTGCGACCCATAGGTTGAGAACCGCTGCTCTTGACCGATGTAGGTTATGAGGAACTGACAATTAGAACAGTTTTTAAAATTTTGGTGTATGAAATTAATTCTCTTTACATAATTACAATTACACAGGTTTGCTCTATTGATTCAATGGCCACATTAATTCATTCTTTTTTTTTTCCGGCAGAATCCCAAACGTAAAGGTTGAACATACCAGGAGGTAACTGTAATTGCAGAAGTGCTATTGTCATTGTCGAGCATGTTTTGATCCGGTCCTTTCCAGGTGATGGTTGGTTTGGGCCGCCCACAGATTTTGCATTGCAACATTACGGTGTCTCCAAGCAAGCAAGTGATGTCCACTAAGGGCACGAGAAACTCAGGAGCAACTGGAGTAAATGCCATACACAGAGACACATCACAACACTCACAAGAGACATCAACAATTTTATTTGAAATACTGAAACAGCTGTCAAGCAAGGAATAGTGGGGGTTTTTGGTCCAAGAAAACTCCTGCTCCACAGAAAGTGAAAACAGAAAAAAATATTCCCCTTTCTTCCTATTTCTGAGGCATGTTTTCAGAAATGGAGAAAAGAGGATTCAAAGACCTCCATAGCTTAGAAGAATTGCCGCCATGAGGACTCCCAAGGATCAACTTTAGTATGAAGTGTCATCTTTTCATAATACAACATTGAATTCTTATATATTAATATCCTTAACATTTTAAACAAGATTTGTGATGAATTTCCTCATAAAACTGTGCTCGTATAATCTTTGAAATGGAAGTGATTATCTGTCATCAAATCAAAGTCAGCTCTTAGTGACCACAGAGATAGGTTTTCTCTGTTACAATCTATTCCTAACCTGGCCATTTAAGTCTTCCACCAGTGTCGAAATAGAATTATGGGATACATTTTCCCAATTACAGTATTTGTACTTTGATTGGTTTTTTTATCTTTGGCATTTCTTGATACCTGGGTTGTTTTGTTGTTTTAAAAGATGTAAGCAGCATGAGTGTTCATATTTTAACGAAAAGGCAGATATAAATTAATTTAATCAATAACAATGTTAAGGGCAGATAGTGAGTTTGTATAAATGTGATGCAATATAAAAGCGAAAAAGAACCCCAGAATAATTTGAAAACTGCTTAGCTAAAATAAACGAAATAAAATGAATTCTAATTTGAACTGCCAAATCTGGGCTGAAAAATTTTGAACACAGATTTCTGGATCTCTTTTCTGCCATCCTGCAGTTTGCAGATTTTAGCAATTCATATATTTATATATTTAAATTATATTATAGGGAAAGCAACATCAGTTTAATTGGCTGTCCAATATATTCTTTGGGACTGTCATAAGTATGTACTTAGTATCATGCTTGTCATTACTGAGACAAAATTACCCAGAATATGTTTGGAGAAATAATATTATTTCCCTTTTCATTTTCTAAGCATGGAAAAATAAAGACTTGACATGCTTATGTCTTTAACTCACCTTCCTGGATGAAATTTGGGTTGATGATCTGAAAAATATATACATATGTACACACACAGAGGAAATAAAAAAAAGTTTATTTAATTGGTTATTGAAAAAGAGAAATGCTGTCAGCGAGATATACGTTTTAAAAATACCAAGGAACTGAAAGTACACCCTGACAGGACTAATTCTGAATACTGTGTTTACTGTAACAGCCCTTTCTGATCTTTACATCAAGATTGCAGGATCCTTCAACTGGCCAGATCTTGAAAAGATTTCAAAAAGAGCAGAAATGAACTAGCAATCATGAATCTACTTGTTTGTAAATGAAGCATAGATTCACTGTCCATAATCTTTGGTCTTTCCTCCCATGCACTTCCCATGATCAGCAGATTGTCTTCATGAGTGGCTGGGAATCAGGTAATTCCTGTAGCTATTGGAGTTCTGCAGCACTTTGGATTCCATTGCAAACAGGTGGTTTAGAGCAGGGGTCCCCAACCCCCGGTCCATGGACTAGTACTGGGCTGTGGCATGCCACCAACTGGTCCACACAAATAAGCAAAGCCTCATCCATGGGATGCAGGCAGCATACCAAACCACACACTCTCCGGTCCATGGAAAAATCTTTCTCCATGGAACCGATCCCTGGTGCCCAAAAGGCTGGGGACCTCTGGTTTAGAGTGAGCAGGAGTGCAACAGAAGCATCTGTCTGCAGCTCTTTAAACCAGCCGTGATTTTTGCAGTGATCATGCTAAAGACCCTCTCTGGAATCAGTTCTGAAGAGCTGCAAAGCTCAGGGGTGTCAAACTGGTGGCCCACAGGCTGAATAAACTGATTGTTTCAAAATCTCATCAGGTCTGATTACTTCATGGCAATCAGTTCTTTTATTATCATTCTGTAGCACCATCAGAGACAGGATGATTTGCAAAGTGACAGTGTAATTCAACCAGTACCAAAGTGAAAAAAAGCCTTTTCTGAAGACAATTTTTCTATTTGTACTGTGCACTTACTATCAGGACAAACTACTGAATATTATCAGGGATACATATTGGTAAAAATTCAATCTTACCCACTAGAGTAGGTCTTTCAGTTATTTTGTACCTGAGAACCTTTAGCAAAATCCATTAAACTCTAAATAATTTCCTTCCAATAAGTCTTCACATTGATCTGAAATTGTCTTCAAGAAAATGATATTTTTAAAGAATGAACATTCTCAGTGTGCTCCTCTACTTGGTATATTTAAACTCATTGTGAGAACTAAAAAGCCTAAACACACACACACACACACACACACACACACACGGAATCATTTATCAAGAACATCATACTTTTTTGGAAAAAAAAAAAGAAAGAAAAACCCGTGATAGAAAAAGGCCTGGCCAAATATAGATAAAATTTACAGTTAATACATTCAGCTTTTTAATTTAGCTTTTTAAATTAAATATATGATGAAATATCTTTATCCAATATCAAAGCTAAAAAGATTCACTGGAAACAATCCAGCCTAATTAGAAGTAAATTTCTACAGAACTATACCATTAGTAGTATTGCAGCAAATACATTTAAACCTTAGGCTAGAAATTAGACTTGTTTCAGCAGCAGAGGGCATATATCTGCCAAGATATCTGGATTAATGGTTAAACTGTTACAGCAGTCCAATAAAAAATATTTTATTTGATGATGCCACTATTTCAATTAAGGCTTATCCAGCTGGAAGTTTTCTGCCTTGTTGATTCAAGATTAATAGGCAGCGCTATTTGTTATTGTTAGGTAATTATTAATAACGATTAAGAAAGGTGGGCAAATTATGGCTATGGGCCATTTACAGTTCTGACACTTTTTGAGAGTTGTGAAACTGCTTTAAAAACGCAAACAGTAAAATAGGTTTATCTGTCCTTTAGCTGCACATGTGTGAACAGGCACTCACATATTTTGAAAAAAAAAAAAGAACCAAACACCCAACCAATCCTGCAAATTTCAACCTTGCTCTTTCTGGGATCTCATTGTTAAACTCCTTATGGCTAAGACAATTACAGTAAAATATTAATTCTGGTGACAAATATGTTGCCCCCTTTGATTAAAAAGGTCATATCCCAAAGATTTATCTAAAAAGGAAATGTTGATGACAAAGGAAGAACATAATTATGGTATGTTCTGCCATGAAAAATATTGGTGACGGGGTGAAGAAAAGATAAATGGCAATCCTAATGCGGATGGTATCTTTCCAGTCTTCATTTCCCCCAAAGATATGATACAATTTAGGTTATAAATAATCTGATGTAGCCCCATTCTCACTTCTTTAAATGGCAATATGGATTGCCTTAACTGTTCCAAAACATGGCAAACCTTGCTTACCATGTTACCAGTAGAAATTTTTAGCTTTATTTGCCCTAGGGCAGGGGTAGGCAAAAAAAACCAAAGCTAGATGTGACCTTCAGGCTGAAGTTAGCTACCTCATTTCTACTGGCTTTTTCTTCCACCGATACAAGAAATTTGTTGTATTTTTCTTTCCACATATCAAGCTGATTAGTGGATTTTTGATCTACCAATAATGCTGAGTATCTTGTAGTTAATCTTGATCACATTCCTCTAAAGAAACATAAAGGCCCAAATGCACCAAATATTGAATATTTTTGAATTGTGAGCACCTTAAATAGATTGCTTTGCATCTTTCTTTAATATCACCACTCCTTTTAATGGATTTTGACAAGCTACAGTGAAGGAAAAATTATTTGATCCCCTGCTGATTTTGTACATTTCCCCACTGACAAGGAAATGATCAGTCTATAATTTTAATGGTAGGTTCATTTTAACAGCGAGAGACAGAATAACAACAAAAAAATCCAGAAAAACACATTTCAAAAAGGTTATAAATTGATTTGCATTTTAATGAGCGAAATAAGTATCTGACCCTTTGCAAAACATGATTTAGTACTTGGTGGCAAAACCCTTGTTGGCAATCACAGAGGTCAGACATTTCTTGTAGTTGGCCACCAGGTTTGCACACATCTCAGGAGGGATTTTGTCCCACTCCTCTTTGCAGATCCTCTCCAAGTCATTAAGGTTTCGAGGCTGACATTTGGCAGCTTGAAACTTCAGCTCCCTCCACAGATTTTCTATGGGATTAAGGTCAGGAGACTGGCTAGGCCAGGGGTCCCCAACCTGTGGACTGCAGCCTGGTACTAGTCTGTAGCCTGTTGGCCATTGGATCGCACCCTCCCTCTTGCGCTAGTGCTGTTGCGTGGGTGCTAGCAGCCACATTTGTGGGCACTAGCAGCCTGTTTGCATATGTGTACGGGCTCCAGGGCCGCCACCAGCACCACCGTGAGTATATGCATCCTGCTTGCACATGCGCGGTAGTGCTGCCATGTGCCTATTTTGCACATGCGCATGTGCGTGCACACACGAGCACATACATTTCCCTGCTCCTCCCTTTCCCTCCAGGCCAACCCAGAAAGGTTGGGGAGCTTTGGGCTAGGCCACTCCAGGACCTTAATGTGCTTCTTCTTGAGCCACTCCTTTGTTGCCATGGCCGTGTGTTTTGGGTCATTGTCAAGCTGGAATACCCATCCATGACCCATTTTCAATGCCCTGGCTGAGGGAAGGAGGTTCTCACCCAAGATTTGACAGTACATGGATCTGTCCATCATCCCTTTGATGCAGTGAAGTTGTCCTGTCCCCTTAGCAGAAAAACACCCCCAGAGCATAATGTTTCCACCTCCATGTTTGACGGTGGGGATGGTGTTTTGGGGGTCATAGGCAGCATTCCTCCTTCTCCAAATACGGCGAGTTGAGTTGATGCCAAAGAGCTCAATTTTGGTCTCACCTGACCACAACACTTTCACCCAATTCTCCTCTGAATCATTCAGATATTCATTGGCCTGTACATATGCTTTCTTGAGCAGGGGGACCTTGCAGGCGCTGCAGGATTTCAATCCTTCATGATGTAGTGTGTTACCAATTGTTTTCTTGGTGACTATAGTCCCAGCTGCCTTGAGATTATTGACAAGATCCTCCCGTGTAGTTCTTGGTTGATTCCTCACCATTCTCGTGATCACTGAAACTCCATAGGTGAGATCATGCATGGAGCCCCAGACCAAGGGAGATTGACAGTTGTTTTGTGTTTTTTCCATTTGCGAATAATCGCACCAACTGTTGTCACCTTCTCACCAAGCTGCTTAGTGATAGTCTTGTAGCCCATTCCAGCCTTATGTTGGTCTACAATCTTTTCCCTGACATCCTTGGACAGCTCTTTGGTCTTGGCCATGGTGGAGAGTTTGGAATCTGATTGATTGATTGCTTCTGTGGACAGGTGTCTTTTATACAGGGAACAAGCTGAGATTAGGAGCACTCCCTTTAAGCTTGTTACCTGTATAAAAGACACCTGGGAGCCAGAAGTCTTGCTGACTGATAGGAGATCAAATACTTATTTCACTCATTAAAATGCAAATCAATTTATAACTTTTTTGAAATGCATTTTTCTGGATTTTTTTGTTTTTATTCTGTCTTTCACTGTTAAAATAAACCTACCATTAAAATTATAGATTGATCATTTCCCTGTCAGTGGGCAAACGTACAAAATCAGCAGGGGATTAAATAATTTTTCCCTCACTGTATGTCATAATATATATCCAACAATTCAGGCTGAAGCATGCAAACACCAGTATGGAACACATATCTGCAGATTTGGAAACAAGTCTTACAGGTTTCAAAGGAATGCATTAGCACTGGGAACCTTAGTGATGAGGCAATTAAGGTAGCAGCCTTTAATTTTGATTTATTAATGCTGCAAAATGGAAGCTCACACTGAAGGATCAGAATGTATTTCATAAATCATTTTCTTTGCAAAAAAAACCCATCAGTTAAGTTTATGAGGACTAAATCTGGGAAAGTTAGTAAAAAAAAAGAAAGAAAGCTAAACCATTGTGCAATACTAATGAAGTAATGCAACATTCTGCAAAACTGTAGAAAAAAGAAAACCAAGGAAGCAGGAAAAGAACTATATTAATTTGCTTTAATCTGGGGAAGCTGTTGACAGCAGAACACAGACCTTTTCTGGAGATGAAATAGTTCTGTCTTTTCCGCCATGTCAGTCTGCTGTTTGGATAGACTCAGTGAGGATCAACAATATACTTTTAGTTGAGTTCTCCTTGCCTGAGGTCCTCATGAACATCAGACCAACCGTTCTTTGCTCTCTTTTACTACAAACAGCAGTTTCAGGGGCAAACAGTAGTTGTAAAAACCCCCCACTCTTGATAGGAAAAGTATCTCCAATCCAAGTTAGGAAATGACCTTGACCAAACTCATATTTATCTAGAATTGTAAGTGAATGGATCACAAACATCTGTTCTTAGGCATCTGAGATGGTGTGCTTGATGTCATCACCGTGCAAATGTCAGTGCTCAAAGGCAGAGTTTCTGGAACATAATGGGCATATTCCAGGTTTAAACCAAAACATAGTTTCTGTTTTATGTATACTCACTAGAAGACATAAACATTTAGCTGGGGAACACTACAGCACTACTAATTTAACAATTTGATATAGAGGAACATAATGGAGTGAATTTCATGGAAGAATTAGGGCAGCTTTGTGTACATCAAAGTAGCACCGTAATCAACAGTGTTTCGAAGCAAGGCAGATACTGGTAGCACAAATATATAATGGCCACAAAAGGAAAGAAATAAATTGCCAAGAAACAAACTGGTAGTGAGCGATTTGCTCTTTTTTTCATGGGGACAATGTAAGAAATACATGGAGACATTTCTATTTGTGCTCACATAGAATTTACTGCTGCTGTAATATTTGAACAGCAGCATTTTAAGTCCTCTCCCTTGCCTCACACAAACAAACATTTCTGCTGCATCTTGTTTTGTTCCAAGCTCCTTTTCCTCCCCCCCCTTCAAATTTATATGAATAAATCAGCAAAGCAGTAGCAATGGATGTTCTGTTAAAAGCCTTTGAAAAGAAACTATAATTGCAAGGTACAGCAAGTACTCCGATATCAGCATTAGCATTGCTTAGCCAAAAACAAACACAGTAAGGAAGTGGGGAGACTTAAGTCCACAAATCTAGCTTTTACTTATGAATTGGTAAAGGAATACAGATTTTAGGTGTTCTAATATATTAAATATTAGGACTATGCACATGGTTAGAAAGAAGTCTTCTACAATGCAAAAGAATATGTGGAAAGCACTATTCTTCAGATTAATAAAGTAGGTACGTTGTTACTGGGCTTTACATATACCCGAGCATTGTGAAGTACCTCTTTGGAAGGATTGGAACAGCCCCATTAAATATTAGTGAGATCTCTTTACCTGTATGCTCTACAGGTATCCCAAACATGCTAACTACAAAAGTCTAATATTCTTATTTTTTCCCCAAATGGTTTGAGAACATTAGAAGCACTTTTACATCATTGCAAAGTGGTTTTCTGTAATATTTCCCCCCCCCCATAACTAGAGAGCTTCATCTCTAAGCTCAGACAGATGCTTCGTTTCTAAAACAGGCTTGCTTAGTGAAGTGTTGTCATCTAGAACAGGGGTCTCCAACCTTGGCCACTTTAAGACTTCTAAACTCCCAGAATTCCTCAGCCAGTATAGCTGACGGGGTAATTCTGGGAGTTGAAGTCCCCAAGTCTTAAAGTTGCCAAGCTTGGAGACCCCTGATCCAGAAGGCCTTTTGCATTTTTCTCGTTTCTGGGTGCTTTCTATGCGCTTTCATATTTTAATTTTATTGTTTACTTATTATTCAACTATTTTCAGTGGAAAGGATCTTCCATGATGCACAGTCTTCTAAAGGGATTAAGTAACCTCGTACTCATTGTCTTGTACCAGAAGGGATTCCCAAGAAAGCTTTGACTACTTTATGTATGTCTTCTTATAGGACCTTTGCCCTTTGTCCTTAGTACTCATTTACTGTTAGCAGTTGCATTTCACTAATACAGCAAACATTTCTGATTGCTATTGACCTTGTTTTAAATACTGAAAATCATGGTTCCCTCACTATTGTAGTCAGATCAAAATTCTAATTAATAGATGCTACCATTACATATTTAGCATATCAGCATATCAGACTGTAGCATTCAAAATTGGATAAGTGGAACCAAAATAGAGCAAACCTGCTATATTCTTAACGGTTGAGAAATTAATTGTATATATTGATGTGTTAGCTTACAGTGGAAGTTCCAGGTTCATTTACAGCAGGGGTGTCAAACTGCTGGCCCGTGGGCCGGTTTCATCATACCGAAGCCGCGCCCATCCCATTGCTGGCAATGCAAAAAGAGTCGCGATATGTCACAACACGTCATGTGATGTGGTGAGTTTGACACCCGTGATTTACAGAATGAATCTGTCCAGAATAAACCCAAGACAATTTGGTATCTTATATGTAATTCTCACATTGATGCAGAAGGATATTGTTAAAATTAAATGAGTGATAATTTGCTGTCTAGGATCTTCTGCCTGGGACAGGCACTCCACTCTGAATCTACATTATACTACAGACACACCTCCTAGATTAGAGTAGAGTCACTGAATTTTATAGATACTTTTTAAAAACAGGCATATAATTCTTTGGGGGAATTAGTACTGGATTTGGGAGAGGGAGGATAGAAAGGATCATTGTCTACCTCCATGCTAGTGTTGGGGTCAAGGTCATCACATTCTGACTCTTCTGAACTGTTTGTCTCCTTTTGAGCAGCATGGAGAAAAAAGAACAGAGTTTTGATCAGCAGAGAGATTAAAGACAAAAAGAGCAGAGCAATTAAGAGCAACATAGAAATGGCCACCAATAACTCAAATACTTTCCAACAGAAAGTCACTAGGTGCAAGCAATATACACTGGGCAAAATAAAATAAAATAAAATAAAAACTGTCTAAGTAATTTAGAAAAAAAATACATTAATGGAAACAGCACTATGAAACACTACCTCTGCTATATCAGCTTCCCAATTCGGGAGGGCTCTTGGAACCTGGCCCCCAAAAATTGTATCTAAATAACCTTTAGCATCCAATTCTGGCAAGTAAATAAGAATTCTGGAGGAGTCAAGGGCCTAGTGGTTCACTCAATCTTTTGGGGTGCCTTTTTTTTTTTAGAAGTTTAGCCATGCGTGTCAAATGTCAATCATTAAATTTTTTAAAAGTCCTACAACTGTAAGAAACTTGAATAGCCCAGAATTCTGAAGTGGAGCCAGTTTTAAAAACCTGAATGTTATTTTCTGATTTTGTATTTCTTAATCCCCATTTAGAGAAATGTAAGTGCACAGCAGAAAGTAGCACATTTGCTATGGTATTGAAGGGCATCCTTCCTCCATTCACCGAATGGATTGTTTAAGGAGGGAGATGCCCACCAAATATATCTTACCCCATGCTCTATCAGCAGGCTTCATCATCCTTTGGCAGAACACACACAACACAACACCAAGACAGGCACACCTTTAATCACCGTAAATGCTCATGAGATTTGTGTATATAAAGAAGGGGAGGCATGATCTAATGTATTATCTGTTCAAAAAAGGATTTGCTCTTCTAGCAGTTGACTAACTGGATGCTCAGTTGCTTTTTAGCTTTGTTTTGGGGACTAACATTATTTATTTATTTATTTATTTATTTAACAGGATTTATATGCCGCCCTTCTCCCCATGGGACTCAGGGCGGCTCACAGCGTATTAAAACATCATACAAAAAAAATTTCCCCTACTAAAAACCAATTAAAACCCAAATATTGGTAGCTGTGGCTCTTTAAAATCGTTAAAAATTGTCCCTATTTAAAACTCACCCTAGGT